TCCGCTAGTTTTTACCATAACAGTCTCGGATTTCAAATCACAATGAACGATTCCGCATAATGGATCTCAGACAGTCCTGCAAGTAACATGAACGATTCCGCATAATGGATCTCAGACAGTCCTGCAAGTAACATGCTTGCGTAACAAGCAACACTGAATTCCGGCACCCGGACGACGCGATCAGTTCTCTGAGGCTACCTCTGGCTACGTACTCCATTAGAAGATTGTAAACAACCCATTCTCGACACTCCTGTCCTCCCCGATAGACTGGATGATTTTAGGGAGCCAACATCCCGTCGTTGAATTCGCCAAGAATTTCTTTTCTTCTCTTAACAAAAAGAGTTGGTCCGGTTCGACTGTTTTGACCCCATGTTGGATGGGTGGCAGTAACCGTAAGAAGCCACCCGGGTCGCCAATAACACTTTCCCGTATGAACCGGATCCAAGCTAAAGATTATTCCATTGATTATTAATGATCTCTTTGGTTGGGTTCAAAGTGGCTAAAGATTTTGAAGGTTTTTTTTTTCTTTAGAAACAATTTAATTCTATCCTTTTGATCTTCTTCGTAATTTTAATTTATTCTTTAGCTATGCTCTGGTATTTATATACGTACCCGTTTTATTTTAGGATCTGGCAATCCAGCCTCTTGTTTGCTTCCCATTGATATTTTGAAATTTTTTTTTTTTTAAATATGCTTTCTTTGAATCGAAATATTTGTGATTATTTGTTTTTTAAATTTCATAAATGAAAATTAAATGAGGGAAAGACAGATTATTTTTGACATTTTTCTAAGAGAAAACTAGTTTGAAAGCTATTTTTCCTTTCTGGCTTCATTCTAGAAGTATAGATTTTGATTAGAAGAAAATCAATATATTTTTTTTTTTGGTAAAAGGTAAATCTTTCATTGATGGAACATCTTGAACATGTACATATTTACATCAAGTTCTGTCAATCCCAATCCCCAAACCATCTACAAATCTAATATCATCCCTACTCCCATTTCTAAAATTGTGCTGAATTTTACATTTGATCTCATTTTTCAGCTTTTCAAACCTTGCTGTCACTTGTTCTGTCTTACCTCTAAACTTCCTGGAATTTCTTTCACACCATATATGATATATTGCTGCATTAATGCATGCAAATATAACTCTTCTTCTCACTGATCTGGTCTTCCAAATTCTTTCAAAACCTGCCAGCATTCAAGTTCTGAATCACAGGTCCCAGGCCCAGCCACTGCTTTATCTCCATGATAAGATCTTCTGCACATTGGCATCTGAAAAATAAGTGCCTAGCAGTTTCTTCATGACTTCCACACAGAATGCAAGATGTATCCACAACAGTTACATTCATCTTTCTAAGCCTTTCAACTGTCAACAATCTTCTTTTCCAAGCTAATTAGCTAACAAAACTATGTTTTGGCAATGAAAACTTACTCCACACTATCTTTCTCCCTCTGTCCTCTAAGCCATTCATATCCTTTTGCTGTTGTGAAAGGTTTGCTGATTCCTTGCCATTCTCCATTCTGTACTCCAGGTTTGAGCTGATCTCTCAGTTTAAGCAGCTTTTTCCAGTACCAGCTGCTATCTTTTGGATATGTGCATCCACTTAATCCACAAGCGTTCTTTATTTCTTTCCAAATCCCACAACTATTCCCCATCATTGCTTGATTCCAGCTTCCTGGATCTTTAATATTTAATCCTCCTTCCACTTTTTTCCTACACACAAGATCCCAAGCTACAAGAGGCCAACTCTTCCCACTGTCTTTCACTCCCCACAAAAACTCTCTACAAGAGGCTGAAATTTGTTGAATGAGAGACTAAGGCAAGAGGAAAATACTTGCCCAGTATGTATGTAAGGTCATTAAAACAACATTAATAAGTACCACTCTACCAGCATAGGATAGATGTCTTGCTGCCCAGCACTTCATTCTTCCTCTCAGCTTTTCAATCAATATTTGACAATCTCCTTTAGTCCATGCTGTGGGTGAGAGAGGCAAGCCAAGATATTTCATAAGAAAGGATCCCCTTTCAAAACCAATAATGTTCGATAACTGCTCATGCTGATCACTTCCTATACCACCAAAATATACATTAGACTTATTCAGGTTGACCCTCAGTCCAGAAGTGTCCGCTAAGTGGTCCAGAATCTCTTTCACTATCTTCAAAGTTTTCTGTTCAGCTCCACAAAATACTAGAAGATCATCTACAAAGCTGAGTGATGTAATCCTCAGCTTGTCACAATGAGGATGAAACACATAGTCCTTTCTCTCAGCTGATGTAATCCTCAGCTTGTCACAATTAGGTTGTCAAATATTCCATGACGATCACAAAAATAAGTGGTGAAATCGGATCACCCTGTCCAAGTCCCCTCCTTCTCTTAAAGAATCCAACACTATTCCCATTCAAGTTTAAGGAATTAGAACAGGTTGTGATACATTTCATGATCCAGTGTAGCATTTATCAGGGAATCCATAACTTTTCAACATCTCCTCTATGAAGTCCCAATGATTGGAATCATAAGCCTTCCTCAAATCTACTTTTAGCATACAACTTGGCTTAGTATTCTGTCTATTATACATTCTTATAAGCTCTTGAGCTAAAAGTATATTACGCAGAATTGATCTATTTGGCACAAATGCTCCTTGATTAAGATCTATCAAGTCAGGAAGAATCAAGCTCAACCTTTTGCTTATCATCTTAGAGATACATTTATAAATGGCATTGCAGAATGATATAGGCCTATACTCAGTTGCATCCTTAGGACATTCATTCTTTGGGATCATTGGGATAAGAGTTGTATTTATCTGTTTCAACATTTCACCAGTTCTAAAAAATTCCAATACTGCTTCACATAGATCATCTCCAATAATATTCCATGTATTCCTGTAAAATCCACTGCCATAGCCATCTGGTCCAGCACTTTTATTCACACCTATGCTGAAAAGAGTTTCCTCAACATCAGCTTTGGTGAACTCATCAATCATGAGAACCTGCTACTCTACACTCACTATTTTATTTTTGGGAAGTGATGATGTTTCCCAAGATGAAAAAAATAAAAAGTAAAAAAAAATAAAAATGAAAAAGAAAGAAAAAGCTGCTGAAGAAGAACAGTAGAGAATCCAAAAGCCTATTAATTCAAACATCCCAAGACAAAACTAGAGAGCTCCATCATGAAATGTGTACTTCCCCAGTTCCAATATTCGTACTTCATCTGCTTGACAAAAAATAGTTCACACTGAATTTTAAAATTTTTATTTGTTTTAGTATCAATCTCAAAAATCAATATAAATTATTTTTTAGGTTAGAGGAGTACAATGTATATGAATATAATTTTGGGAGACATCACAAAAGGTGCTTATTGTTTGCTAATCAAATACAAGTTCGTTTCTTAGCTAACTTAGAAAGAATGAAAAATATCCAAATTGAGAGGGACTTTCTTTTTCACAAATAAATAAAGAAACAAAGACTCAAATCATGATAAAATCGATATATTACATTATGTAGCTAAGAAACTATTTTGTGTTCAATCACAAATATTGATTGGTTGGTTTTAGTTCGGGAGAGGGTGAGAATGAATTCAGTGAATTTAAGGGAAAATAGTTTGGCGGTGAAGTCTAGGTTACTAAAAAGTAACAAGGACTTTATAAGAATTTTCTTTTCTGGATTTGTACTTTACGAGATTTGAATAAAAAATGTTATGGTTATATCTTCTTACGTTGCCTCTCCACGAATGTCTCACTTCAAGTAGGTCAAAACTTGATACTAGAGAATGATTAAGATTTCAAATGTTCAAAAGGTCTATGATTATTTTTTTTTTGGTTAAAATGTGAATTGTATTGATCGAACATCACAAAACTCGTATCTGTACAAGCGTATAATTACAGCTCAAGTACTAATCTGCCCTACCTCCACTCCTAACAGCCTCAAAAACTCTATCTCCTTACTTTTCAATTTCTTCTTGTGCAAGCAATACAAAACCCTCCATCTATAGTACTCTTGTTTAATACTCACAAAACAATCAGTCACATCTCTTTCCTCTCCTCTGAACTTCCTGCTGTTTCTTTCCCTCCGAATGTGATAAATTGCAGCATTGAGGACAGCAAACAGAATCCTTTGCTGGAAACCCTTGTATCTCCACAACCTCAGAACTTTCTGCACTGCCAAGCTGTCAGGAATTGTATGAAGACATAGCAACTGCTTGATCATAACCAATAATGCCTTAGCAAAATCACACTTAAAAAACAAGTGCTTAAATGTTTCATCTTCAGTCATGCATAACACACACCTCTCATCATCAGGAAAAAAAGGTCTATGATTATGTTAGCAAGTGTCTCTTAAAAAAATAATTCATGCGTGGATTAACATACATATCGAAATTGAAACGGATTCAAAATCTCTAGTCCTCTTAGTTAATCCAACAAGTTGGCTATGGCGATAAAAACATTCTCTCGAAAAGGTATGGATTTTGACATAGAATATATCAGTCACCATTGGACATGTAATGAGAAATAAATGCAGTAACTGATGGTCTAGCTAAACTGGCAAAATTTGCACCGAACCAGTATGGAGTATTCTCTCGATGATTTGTCTAGTTGTTTAAGAGGCCTAATTATTACTACTTTTCATATGCAACAAGAATGAACTAGTTTTACTACTTCATATACGGTAATATATCTAGCTATTTTGATTCAAAAGCGTGGATGTGACAAAGAAAACAATGAACAAACTGCTTATTTGGTCACATTACGAACGAATATGCTTAGAAGATCATTTATTTTATGTGCTTTTTTTTTTTGTTCATAATCAGATAGTACCATCTGGAACATGATCTAGGAATCATCATCAAATGTCAAAAACCCTAATGTAAGTAAGATAGCGCAAACATGTTTTGTTATATTATCAAGAGAGATTTTTCGAATTTAGTGGAGAACACCGGGGGAAAAAGAATTAATTAACACGGGACTTCAAGTTTGTGATCATTTGAAGTATCTGAAACAACCAACCCTTTTTCTTGATTACGTGGTAAAAGAGATGAATCATACAACGATAACCAGTAATTGGTGAGATTTTTGTCAATTCTAACATCGTTTGGAACAAAATATATATATATATATATATATAAGGGGAAATATAATTATTCAAATCCGAAAAAGGGATTCTGAATCAATTGACAACCTCAATGCCTTTCAATGGTTTTCCAGAATGAAGTTGTAAGGCAACGTCACCAACAACCTGTAACCCACAAGAAACGAAACAGACTACAATGAGGTGTGAATGCAAAAATAATATATAAACTGAGTCCCGTTAGAATTGTCGATTTTACTGAATTAAAACAGTATAACGTAATGAATTATCGGTAAATTTTGTGTTATACTTGTGGGACACTCTCCATTACTAAGATACATAAAACTTCTGAATCAGCAAACCATGAATATATTAAATTATATATAGTGCCTGAAAAAGAGAAATAACAATCTGAATATACCTTAGCCGTGTATCTACAAGAAGGTTCTGTAAGCCCAGCAACATGGGGTGTAATGATGACATTAGGAAACTTTAAAATATCATCATCAGGATCAAATGGCTCAGTCCAAGCAACATCCATTCCTAAGCCTCCCAAATGTCCTGATTTAAGATGATGAAAAACTGCCTGGTAGTTCAGTAAGCCACCTCTTGCTATATTAACCAAAAACGCACCCTGAAACACAAAACTCATGAGCGCACACGGTTTAAAAAAAAAAAAAGAATAAAAAGAGGACATGATATATACACTAGAAATGATTTCAAATAAAAAATAATTTCGAAATCAAGGGAGTAGTTTTTATGGAAGCCAAACCTTTTTCATCGAAGAAATGAAAGCCTCATTGATAACGGCAGCCTGAAAATGATCTTATCATATTGTAGTTTATTCTGATAAATTTACATTTTTAATATAAGACTCTACTTTTAACACCTTTGCTCATAGTGGACTTTGGAATGCTTTTTCTGGCTTTCAGAAGCCACGCCATCTTTGGAAATTTAAGGTTAAAAAAACCAAATCCAAATCTTTTAAGCAGTATAACCATTTATTTATTTATTTGGTGAAACGGATGGGTTATGGTATGCCATGAGAAATAATTCGTGCAATTAACTTAAACTAAATCTGACAATAACTGAAGAGGCTCAAAATTCTGATGTTGTCCACATTGACTTCCAAGATCTGTATTATGTTTTGTGTAAATTTCCAAATTCGGCGTGAATTGTTTTTTTTTTTTTGCGATAAAAAAATTATTTTATACCTACTAGTGAGTAATATTACTGGTTTATGTTTAAGAATTGAGGATCTGAAAAAAAATGGAGAGAAGTCTAACCGTTTCTGTGTTCATTTGTAAACAACAAACAACTATATCAGCTTGGCCGGCAAAATTATAAATGTCTTCATGACTTCCCTTCACGTCCACCACTAGATCGTTTTCTTCTGTACCACATTTGGCCCATGTTAGTCAGTGATACACAGGTTAAAGAAACCAAAAAGATGACCATTTTAAAATTAAGGAGTGGACAGATGCTTTTTTTTTATATATATATAATTATTATTTATTTTATTTCATTTTTATTTTTTAACCAGCTTCATATATATACCTTCATTTTTTGTATCTAAGCCCCAGCTTCTTTTGGTGGCAATTATCTTAACACCAAAAGGACGCAATCGCTTCGCCAAGCTAATTCCAATTCTTCCAAAACCCATAATCAATACCTAATTAGTTCAAGTATAAGTAACTATTAGTGCATCACGAAGAGCAACAAGAACAAAGACGATATCAATTAGTATAAAATCGTCCCTAAACAAATTTCAGAAACTTACATTTAGAACTCCCCCAAGATTAAAAACGAGTCGACCATGAAAATAAAAAATAAGCAGTAAATTAATAAGGATTGAAAGTTTTAGGAATTTTCATCAAAAAAAAAAAATAAATAAAAGTTTTAGGAAAGGAGTAAACAGTTCAACAATTCTATGTTTAAGTAAAGAAACTCACTGTCTTTCCCATCAAGGTGTCGCCAACTGGTTCTCCAAGTATTTTCTGCTTCACTGCAATTTGCATTTCATTCTGCCCCAAATGCATGAAAGTTAATTATTAAGGCAAAATCTAAGATGCCCGCATGTTCTTGATTATATTGAACTTGCGAGATTCGTATTATCTAGAAATTGTAATGAACTATAATTATTTTTCAGTTTCAATTCATAACATATGAATATGTAGTAATAATTTCGAGATAAAGCAATGGAAAAAATTTGTGTTGTCACAAACTGAGAAATATGTACTAGGTTGTAAAGAATAGACCTGCTTACGAAGAAGACCCAACATTAAAAATATGGCCATTTCAGCACAAGAATCTGCATTTCCAGTTACTCCACTTGGAATTCTAGCAACCTTGATTCCATGCTTTGTAGCAGCACTTATGTCAATACCTTTATTCAAGAAGTATATCAAAAGAATAACTTAAGACCAATATTAAATATAATTAATATATGCCCATTCCAATAGTATAAGTTACAAATTAATACTCATTTTATCCTAAAAAAATAGTCCATATTGAGTTTTAAAATTTATACTAATACTTAATACAAATCTTTGAATTACTCAATATGAACTTATTTTTTTGGAACAGAGATAGTACTAAAGTTTTGTAAATTAAATACGACCGGAGGTAGTAACATAATAACAAATTGCAAATCTTCCACCAAGCCATATCACCTTCCAAGCCAACTCCAAACTGCAATATAAGCTTCAATCTCTTCGCTTGGGAGATGATCTCTGAGTTCAATCTCATGTTTTTTGGTACACAAATATCATAATTTTTAATTACACTCGGGACGTCCACGAAGGGTACGTCATCAACCTGCAAAGAAGAACAATTGAGAAGATTGCCCGAATCAATATCCTGGAGAAAGAGTAACTTTAGGACCTGTCCAACTCAAACAAATATTGTCTGCCTGACCATTTATATAATTTAAACTTGTATATATCACATTTTTTTTCCGTAATATTTTTTCCCGGGCCATTTTGTTTCTCCTTTCCATTTTATTTAGAGAGTTAGCACTTCTACCTTTTGTCTTCACACAATGGTGAACTTGTTAAAAATCCCCTTAAAAAAAATGAAAGACAAGAAAAAAATTTGTTTCACATCATCAACTGTAAGCCAAATTGACCCATTCTTCATTAATTTTGAGTATAGATATTCGGTGACACTTTTGTACTATACTCTCTATGACATTAAATAAAATTTTGACGTGTTTAATCACTTGTCAAACAGGATTTATTTAATATTTAGTTAAGGTATCAGTAATTAATTACTTAAACACGTGTCAATTAACTAGTGTCACATAATATATCAGAGAAGACGCAAATAGCCTAACATTTAGTAGTGCAAGGTAAGGCTCATATTGCCGTACATAGCAGAAGTCGCATTATCCATTTCTTATGCGGGAATCAGTCCAGTAACACAGCTTGTTGTTTTTGTTTTTTTAATTGTTTTGGTTGGGTTGATAAAATTTCGAGTTTACTTACTATGCTTTCAAGCAAAAACCTATACAACTAGCAGAAGGAGAAAAATAACACTAAAAAAAAAAAGCTAGGTAACATGCTCATATTTTGCCTCACGTGTATAATATTCCGTCCTTCCAAAAAATATTGTCCAATTTGATTTTTTTTACTTTTAGTACAATGCGATCTAAAAATAAAAATCCAAAATAGACAATAAAAAGTCTATCAAGATGAGAGATTGACCTTTATGAATGGAAGATCCTGCACATATTCTCTTGTATAATCTTCGAAAGCTGAAAAATCAGTCCCGCAAAAGAGAATACTGGTGGTATTTGGGCTTCGCTTTTCCATGATATCTTGACATTCATGGGTAAGAAACCTGCCTTTAAGAAGATCAAAAGTAAAATATATACCATAGAGTGAGTGAATCATCAAATTAATGACATCGTAACTTCACATTCATGCAATCAAACCTATACATTTTAACTACAAAACGTAAACTTGTAGGCCAATTTATGATGATGATTAATACCTGAAAATGGAACTGAAGTAGTCAAGTGACACAGAGTGTTGTTGGAAGTACAAGGCCTAGTACCACTTAGAACATCAACCGCAAGCGCTGGCGGCTTAGCCGGAAAAACGAGGGTGGAGACTCCGGGACGAACAATAGGGTACATGAGGCCGCTGGAAATGAAACTTCAGGCGATTCCGGGAAAAAATATTAATGGCAGCAAAGCAAATACCATGCGCTCTGAGAAAATATGTTCAAGTCGGTATTCCAATTGCTATTCATTATTCATATTAATTTAGATTGTTGCTACGGGCCCGACAAACGGTTTAATATCCATGTGACATATCAGAAGTTATAAATTGTCGCAATAATAGTAGTAAAATCCAGTTCTACAATATGTCTCTTATTTTCAATAGGTTACAAGTTCAGGTAATGTTCCAGCAATCAATGGGATACACTATTAATTCTTTAAAAAAACGTGGGTGTATACTTTTTAAAGGCTATAATACGATCAAATTTAACAATGTGATTGAATGCCTTTCCGCCAACCGTACCTCAATTGTAATAAACCCCAGTCATAACTTACACCTGCAGGTACGTACTTCAATTTTTTGGACCAAATACCTATGAATGGAAATAGTAATAACCCATACGTCAGATTTAATTTGAATTCGTACAACAATGCTACACAAGATCCTAATAAAGGGTAAAGTTTAAGGATTAATTCTTTCTGCAACGTTGACTCCTTAATTACTTCATTTTTAAAATTAGAATCGTGTTTACCCAATTGTTCGAATACAATAAAGGCGATTCTTATTTTGAGAATTAAACAATAATTTGATCCTTAACGAGCACATTTGTTTTTGGGGCCAAATCCAGCTAAGGGTAATAAAAATAGTAGGAATAATAAGTTAACAAGAGCAGGTATATATGATAGTGTGCGGAATAGTGACTATTAGTATTAGTACACCATAGTTTAAAAAAATACCTGTTAGATCGGGGAATCGCATATGGTATCTACTTTTGTCGGTGCTCCTATTAGGTACACGTGTTACCTGATATTCTTCCTCATTTTCATTTGGGTTACATCTAACTATTTGAACCGCATATGTCGTCGTCGGAAGGTACAAACAACATCGATAAAAGAAAGCCAAAGTTCGTGTAGGATGTGGATCCACGGATTTTTATTAGTAGAAGATGTTTTGAAATGCGAAAGTAAATAGTGATTTATGCTTGAACTGCAGGAAAATAATCGGACTTAATTAAGGAAAAAATTAAATCAGCATTTAACCACATCTCATACGGCACATACACTATTACAATAAAGTCTACATTTAAATTGTTGAAAGATAAAGAAATGAAGCACAAATGAACCAGATTGAGATAACTTATAGTACATGTATACTAACCAAATATGCAGATATTAGGTAAAAATCAACATTTAGCCAATTAAATATAGTCTTGCTTAATTGATCCACATTTAGAATTATTTAGAATTATTGAAAATCTCACATCAGTGTTAGGAAAATTAAATATCATGTCATAGGATATCCCTTTATTGTCAATTAGTTTTGAGGTGAAACACTAGAGTTTGTATAAGGAAAAGTTCGGACATTAACGTAGGCATGAAACGTAATCAAGTTATTGTTGATCGTTAAACTAGCAGGAGAACTCTTTGTTTCAGGAAAGAATGGTAAATCAGTCTTGCTCCTCGGAGGTCTAGGGAGTACGATTTTCCACTTCAACGTGAAGTTATGATTGACTCTCCTTGAGAAGCATGTTGAGACGAACCCATAGTATGTACTTCCGTTTTGCATCGAGTATGATAGTTCCCTAATAATTATTTAGAGTGGCTTACCTCTGACTATATAATGGTACAAAAGAGTACCTTATGTTACGGCGAACGTTCATTATATGTTTTTGGTCGAGAAAATGAAATTTATTGGAGGGCTTGCAAAAGTTAATCAGCCTACTTCTTTTTTTGAGAACTTTTTTTAAAAAAATATATGACTTGTATATTTTTACAAGAATTTCCAAATTGAAGACTAGAAAATCTTTGAATTCGAGCATATCAAAGGGTTATTTTATTTTAAACTTTTTGGGTATAAAAGTATTTAAAAATATACAGATTGAGCAAAAAATAATTAAATTAAGTTATTAAATTTTAACCGTGATTAAATTAGATATAAGGTGAGATACAATAGTGAGGGATGAGTTGTGTATTACTGTATTACCTCTGTATTACCTTGTTAATAACTTCTTTCCTATTTTACCCGTATTATCTACACCAAATTTTCCCTTTTCCCTTTTGGAATATAATAAACATGACTTTATAATATAGCCAATTCAGCAATAAGGGGCTAGGGTACCACGAGTCAATAACCCTAATATCCCAGCCGCCATGGGAACGAAGAAGCCTAGTAGTAGAAGCATGAACATGGAGGAGCTGCCGGAGGAGATCAGGCAACATATTTTGTCGTTCATGAATTATGACGACGTGGTTCGAGTTTCCGGCGTATCAAAGGCTTGGACGGAAGTAGCCTCCACATTGAGATGCTTGAATCTTTCAGATGATTTCTTCGTTCATGCTCCCGATGGTCGACCACCGCCATCGGAATCGATAGAAAAGGTTAAATCCATGCTGTCTTCTGCGAATCGCTTTGTTTGTGAACTCCAACAACAGAATGTACGCATGGATAAATTGAGCTTTAAATTTTGGGTTAACCCTCTTTTGAAATTTTACGTTATGAACGCCGTATTTGACCTTCATCTGAATTGCAAAGAAAATATCAGAGAATTCGTATTGGATGGTGGTGATTATAACATTTTGCCTGAACATTTAGTACTTCATTTTTGTGCTTCCCGTTTTCTACAAAAGCTGGTTTTGGGAGGATTATGGAAGTTTTCAATGAAAGAACTGCTGCTTCTTGGTGGAAAAATAGATCTTCCTTGGTTGCGGGAGTTTTATTTGAGGTGTAGTTATATTGATGATGAGTTACTTGAGAATTTTGTCAAGAACTCTCCTAAGCTGGAATTTCTACAGATCATTGATTGTTGGGGTTTTCGCACTTTGAAAATATTAGGATCACAGAAAAATTTCAAACGGTTGGTCATGGAAACAAAGCGGAACAAAGTTAAAGCCAATCGATTCGAGATTAGAGATGTACCGAATGAGTACCTTCGTTACCGAGGTGATAAATTGTTTGCGTTAGTTAATAATGTAGACGTTTCTGCCTACGAGAATTTAAAGATTTTGGAGTTGATGATCATTAGTTCGGGTGGTGATGAAAAGTTGTTTGACGCAATCCAACCATTTGTTTCGAATCTTAAAGCCCTCGAAGTATTCAAGTTTACTTGGGAAATTCGTGGAGGTAAAAGTTTTGGGAACTACATGAGACCTATTACTATTAGAATCTCGAGTGACTCTATCAAAGAGCTGTGGATATCATTAGTGTGTGTTCGAGGGGATATTCAAGTTGATGCACCTTATTTGTCTAAGTTCTATTATTCGGGTTCTCTATTTTCAAGGCTGACACTTAAAGCTTCATCATCATCATTATCGATAAAAGAGGCTAACATTGTTAGACGTAGCATGGACGAAATTAGAATTGTAAACCTTATTGGGTTCCTTAAAAGTTTCAATCACTTTGGACAGTTAGAAATATCTTGTGATGATTCTTATAGTCTCTATTTTGGCAATCGTCACACAAGTCACATAATTCATTTCCGTTTTTATTTTTTGCAAAGTAGGGGGCAACTCAACTTCCTTTCCAATTCATACAGGAAATCTAAATGCGTGGAGCATTGGTGCCCAACAGATCTTGATTGTTGGGGAAATTTGAAAACAGGATAAAAAAGATGGCAATTGATAAACTGAGAGCAACGTTTTTATTTTAAGAGCAAAATCTTTTAAAATATCCATGTTAACCTTATGAAATTTATTAAGGCATTCACTTAATTTTTTCCCATTGATTCTCTCCCTTCTTTTCTTAGTCCACGTCTTTGTTTGCAAAAGTTTTTTCTTTCTAATAAATCATAAAATCTAATTAAATCTAGATAACCTGTATATAATCAAACCCATACAATGAACAAAAAATTTATTTATTTTTAATGAATAACAGAATACTATTGTAAGCAACAAAATTATTCCCGTATAAAAAAAAATACATGAATCAGAGAAACTGGAATCCAACCATCATCAGCTCATCAGATTGTTCGTTTTTTTCCTCTTTCAAGCCGCTAAAAGATAGAGATCTTAAGAACTTAAAGTTTCTCCCCATTGAGATTATAAAGTTGATTAAGATACCATGAATTAAAGAGAAAACAAAAAAGGCGGGAAGAGCCGTCGTCCTTTGCAATGGAAGATGAGCCGCCGTCGAGGAAGAAATTAAGGGAAAAGATATCCGGTTAATCCCTTTAAAATTTGCTTAAGGGTAATATAGATATTGTATTAAATTTTCCTCTCAAAATAAAAAAGTTGCTCTCAAATTATTAACTTCATTGTCGAATTAAGCAATTTGAAAAATAAATTACACGGTACATTATCATTATCAAAACAATAAAAAAACCTTTTAGGTTGAACTTTCTTTTTATTCTTTTTCCCTTCCTCCGCTTCTATCCTATTGGGATGCTCCATCATATCATGTTACATTTGTAGAACATAAAATTAATATATATATATATAGATATATATATATCTATATACATTTATCTCCAATATATTAAAGGAGAGTTTTTAATCGGACACATGACACAAATTTAAATAGGCTAATCCACGTGGCGAAAAATTAGAAAGCCAAGTCCACATGTCACAACCACATTACTCTATCATTTAACAGTAATTTTTTATTTGTAAATCCGTAAAAATTTTTATTAAAATTTTACCCGAATTTTTTTTTTTGTCATTAACCACATATATAATTGCAACCGTAGTATTTAGAAAAGGAAAAGAAAAAAAGAAAATTCAACCAACATTCGGAAAAAGGAAAAAAAAACACAAAAAAAAACACAAAATCTTATATTTAGAGGATTACCACTGGTTGCATCAATGTTTTCCAAATGTGGGTAATTCACAGGCAAAAGCTTTTATTCACGATAAAAGCAATAAAAAAAACATATTCCTCCTCCTTGTCACAAAATACAAAACGACCAAACAACCTTTAATTAATTACAATCATCAAAATTAATCAATCACGACTAGAATACTTAGTGGGATTAACCCATAATGCACACGATTGATATGAATCAATCAA